CGAAATGAATTATTGGTTCGAGATGAGGACAATTTAATTTGTTCCAGAGGGTGGGAGGGACCCGAAGCGTGCACATGAAGAAATCGGCATGTTATACCTTTTGTTTTGATAAGGATTCCGAGCATGTTCACAGACGGTTCGTATCAAAACGTCATGAGCTGTCCCCAAGGGAATCTGAACGATTGTTTTGTCAGACACATTTTTTTGGTGTGTTTCCATGTGGGATCTTAGAGGCACTAACTGGAGAGAAGATTGAATACACCTGTACAAATTGATCCGACGTCTCGACATCACCCCTGAATTAAAGAGGCCGAACTTTTGAAATTCAAGGCGCTTTCATATGTAGGATCCAACCGTCAATTTTACCGGTGCTTCAGGTAAAAAAGAAAAGCAACAACAATGAAATGGCGGGTCAAAAAACTGGTACGTAGTAAGGGTGCCGAAATAGGAGGCATAGTAAACATCAGTAAGCCATGCAATGTTCGATGTCAACGTGGTTCATGGTTTGACCCATGGAAGTTATGGTGGTTGTGCTGTTTCTCATGTTCCTGCCAAATCTAATGCGAGACGATTTTTTGTTTGGATCCAGCCTTTGCAACTCAACGACATGGATCCTAGCTTCAAGGTTTATCCTTATATTAGAGAAAAAACCGCCATTTTCGCTGTTGTCCCAAGGCATCGGCTGGACATGCAAACGCACGTCTCTCTGCGTGCTGAAAGCCAACGTGACCCGACTTGGAGCAACATAGTGACTTAAAGTTGGGCATTTTTCCTTTGTTTCGCCAGGTTTTGACCAGATTGCTTGGGTCTAACGGTGTGAAAGTTTCACAGGTACTTTCAAGATTTTGCGGAAACCTCCTACTAAAATCATCCTCAGACTATTTTTGTGCCAAGGATATGCACCCTTTTCCTGTCTGGTTTGGATACATTTTAATTCCGGGTTTGAACCCGCCCAGTATATAGCGATCAACCATTGGGTGTTGGTTGACAGAAGCCAAGGATAGGGCGCTGGGGTGCTATGAGAAAGCGGGATTCTGCGTTGTATCTGGCAGCGAAACTATTGCCAGTTGGGGCAAAAAGAAGCTGCATGTCTTTTCCAAATGGCAGAAGCTTTCCGAGGTGCCAACTTGGTCATGCTGTCCCCAAAAGATCGAGAAGAAACTAAGCGGCCTTGAGCAGCGTAAGGGGCATATTTCATGTTTCTATGTTTTTGGGGGGCTTAGGATGTTCATCATTGTTCAAGAACCAAGCCCTTCATGGATGTTGGTTAAGTGTGATGCTTGCAATTTCAATGTTTCTGTGAGTCAGGATAGGTTCAGCACCATTCGGTAGAGTTCAAGCATCATCAAAAACGGGCATTTGGCCCCATGCCGCGTCATGCAAGGATGAGCGGCTTGCTTTGTCCGCATGCTTCGTCTTGTGAATGGTGGCTTGAGAAGCCCTTCCGCGGGCCAAGTTCATTGCGCCTATGGCCGAGGAGGCCCCGGTTTGGGGCCGGCAAATTAAATGCAGCATGCAGGGGCCAGGGGCCCTGAAAGTAAGTTGTGCCACCATGAAGGAGCAGACATGATTCCCAACTCCTTGGCCCTACAAACCAATAAACGAATCCATTACCAGACCTGGGACACATGAGTTTACCATGGCTTTCAACAATATTGGTACCTATTGGTACAGAATTTGACGGGTAAGTTCACCAAAACTGACCCGAAATGAATTATTGGTTCGAGATGAGGACAATTTAATTTGTTCCAGAGGGTGGGAGGGACCCGAAGCGTGCACATGAAGAAATCGGCATGTTATACCTTTTGTTTTGATAAGGATTCCGAGCATGTTCACAGACGGTTCGTATCAAAACGTCATGAGCTGTCCCCAAGGGAATCTGAACGATTGTTTTGTCAGACACATTTTTTTGGTGTGTTTCCATGTGGGATCTTAGAGGCACTAACTGGAGAGAAGATTGAATACACCTGTACAAATTGATCCGACGTCTCGACATCACCCCTGAATTAACGAGGCCGAACTTTTGAAATTCAAGGCGCTTTCATATGTAGGATCCAACCGTCAATTTTACCGGTGCTTCAGGTAAAAAAGAAAAGCAACAACAATGAAATGGCGGGTCAAAAAACTGGTATGTAGTAAGGGTGCCGAAATAGGAGGCATAGTAAACATCAGTAAGCCATGCAATGTTCGATGTCAACGTGGTTCATGGTTTGACCCATGGAAGTTATGGTGGTTGTGCTGTTTCTCATGTTCCTGCCAAATCTAATGAGAGACGATTTTTTGTTTGGATCCAGCCTTTGCAACTCAACGACATGGATCCTAGCCTCAAGGTTTATCCATATATTAGTGTAAAAACCGTGGTCATGCACCGCATGATCCCCCAACCGCCATCAAATTTAAAAGAAATGGTTGGTATAACCATCCCCAAGTATCCCCAAGTCATATGGTTGGTCATGCATCCCATTATGCTCCAACAGCCACCAAATTTACCACAAATGGCTGCGAACCATCCCAAAGTCATCTTGTTGGTTATACATCCGGTGAAATCCACCAACTGCCATTAAATTTACCAGAAATGGTATGAGCCATCCACAACTCATATTGTTGGCTGAACATCCCATTAAAAACCCGCACCGGCATTAATTTCCTTGAAATGGTTGGTATGATGAACCAACCCCATGTCATATGTTCAGTTTCCGATCTTTATATATCCCGATTAGATCCTCATGCAACCCCATGAAATCATCATTAAATCACCAGTTTCAGCTGGGATGCTGGAGGTTTTCCGATTGCTGGATGCGACCGGTCCAGCCTTCATGCCCCTGAGCTTATGCAGCAAAGCTCCCGAAGTGCTTCCAGCTCCTTGGCAATTGAGGAATCTGAACTCACAACTGACATCGCAACTGAGGTCTTGGATGGAAACCAAAAAAATTGCACTTTTTAAGAATCATCTTCGAGCCCCACATTTTGATTGTCAATTTGTGTTGCTATCTTCTGGTTGTGGGTCAAGATCAACAACCCCGACCCCGCAGATTGGAGCAACACTGACTGCCTCGAGGCGGAAACGTTGCGCACGGAGGACTCGGGTCTGGGGTTGGGCCAATGATCATGATTCAAGATGATTCAGGTAGATTCGACCTGATGTACCAATGACTTCGAAACATCGCCAAAAAAGGTTTTTTTACGCAATGTTTTACAACCAGGAACATCTCAAGTTTAGAACCTCTACCTTGTGCATGTGAAGGTGTCCCGCCAACGTGTTTCATCAAGTGGTTAAAATTCAATTTCTGAAGGACGCGCGCAGCAGCAGCAGCAGCTTCAGATGGAGAGGCAGAGTGGATGGTTTTCCCAAAACTGATTTGCCTTGACCGTCACACCGGAGCACTCTTAGAAAACGGCAAACCAAAATCTAAAAGTCTAAAAGGACTGAATTTGTTGAAATTGATTCGGAAATCGGAATCTCAGCTCAGTGTGACCCAACTGTGGAATACTGTGGACACCTTGTGACACCTTGTGGCTGGCAATCATATTGGTCTTGGAAGTTGGCTTGGGTTTCTGTCAATTTTCATCAAGCAGTTGGGTTTATGATATGCACATGCCAGTGAGGAAACTGTTGGAAACCAAAGACAATATTTTGACAATGGAAACGCCGTCCTTCCCAGGAAATCCACTAGGTGCCATTGGAAACCTGGAGGTGCGCGAAATTTGGGTCCCCCCCACAGTCAGCGAACACATATCCAGGTACCTGTCCGTCCAATTATAAACCAAAAAACGGTGGTTCGGAGCGTGTCACCCAAATTTGAAAGCTCCGTTATCAGTATATGTCGTTTGAATTCATCAAACGCTGTTGCATACATATATATATATTCTATATATTGTATATATATATAAATAATATTATATATATAATATATATATATATACATGTATATGTACACATAAAACAGGTTTATTCCGAAGAACTACGGAATTGAGCGAAGATCTATGTCCTATGTGCAGGTGTTTTTGCAAGTTTCATGACTGGAGCCGGTCAATATCTCCTTGATAGCTTGTTGCAGTTGGTCGCAACCTTAAAATTGAATTAGTTTCACATAATTTTGTGTGGCAGCGACTTGTGTAGGACACTGAACATGTTTACGTGACACCAACAACTAACGGGAAACCATCTATTTAATAAATCTATTTGTTTATCATCGTTTCCAAGCACTTATTTTTTCAAGAATAAACAAGCCATCTATATACATATTCATATACACCTATATCACTAACCAATTTAGATGGACAAATTCTTGGTATTTCTTGGTTAGTTGTGGTTATTTGTCTTTTTGTCAAATAATCCCTTCATCCTAATACTAACCCCCCCCTAATAATAAACACGGCAGGTAGTTTTTAGTATTAGGGGGGTATTTAGTATTAGGGAACCCTAATACTAAATTAAAACCCTTAATAATAAAAACTATTTTTTCCGATCTCAAAATCAATTAAATTTCTTTTTATAACGCAATTAAAATATTGCCAAACATTGGATTTCGAAGCTTCCCCCTAATACTAAACACCCCGGGGTTGACTATTTTTAAGTATTAGGGGGGGAAACCCACAAATGGTAGGTTTATTTTTCCATTGTTTTTTAAAGGGGATCAATTAAAAATCAAATTGGCCAATCTGAAATTTTCAAAAATTGGAGATGGACACTAGTTTTTAGTATTAGGAGGGGGTTTAGTTATAGGACGAGGGGATTAGTCAGGTGAATTCTTGACTGCATTACTGCATCTCAGCCCACCTTGTTCGCCACGTCACGAACAGAAGAAGTCACGTTCATCAACATCAACTGTTTTTGTCCGATCGCTGTCACAAGTGCACAGTATAGGGGCAGATTTTCATGCA